CGTGTTGAATTATTATTCAAAAAAGTAATAACAACAAATTGGGGAATTATTTTTAATAAAACCTGCTTATCCGAAAACCTCGTTCCAAATTGTATCTATATATGTGTATATATATATATATATATATATATATGTATGTGTGTATATATATACATGTGTGTATATATTTATGTTATTTATTATTTACATCAATTAGTGATTAATATTTGTGAAGTTATGTTCGGATGATCAACACGCTTGGCAGGATGAATTTAAATATGTAACTTAATTTCTATGGGTATTTGTTTTTAAGTATATAGTTTAAATAGATAAAGGTTTGGTTTGGTGTATGTGTGTGCACATTGTACATTAAGTTATTTACCTATTGTTTCGTTATATAGCATTTTTTATTATTAGTCCTTAAATTCTTTATTAAATTCATTATTCTTTAGTTGTATTTTCAGGGGTGTTTGTACGTTATTTTATGCTTGGTTTTCATTGTATGTACATATTTTACTTATTGTTATGTATCGTGTTGTGGGTTAATTATATTTTTTTCTCTTGTTGGGCGCATAGGAGCGTTCAGTTTGCGCCCTTTAATAATAAACTATTGTTATTATATATAAGAGAGTCTTCGATGTTTAAATAATAGACAGTCAACAACAACAAATCAACAAACATCCAAAAACCAACAACAACCAATCCACAAACATTCAAAAACCAATCAACAAACATTCAAAAACCAACAACAAACAATCAACAAAACCAGCAACAACCAATCAACAAACATTCAAAACCAACAAAAACCAATCAACAAACATTCAAAAACCAGCAACAACCAAGCAACAAACATTCAAAAACCAACAACAACCAATAAGCAATAATTATGTAAAACCATCCAGTTACAACGATCTTTTTACAAACAAACGAACAAACAAACGAACGAAGAAACGAACGAACAAACGAACGAACGAACGAACGAACAAAAACAACCACCTCCAATATTCGGTCCCCCTTCCTAATGCGTCCATCCATGTCCACCACACTGCCTTCCTTAACACCACTCACTACAATGTTGGTGGTTCCATCTGTGGTGCATTGATGATGATAATGATTACGATGATGATGATGATAATGATGATGACGATGATGAGTTTGATGTTAATAATAACGATGAATGTATACATGAATACAAAAGTTTTTACGCAAATAACGATGGTGTCCATCTTAAATTTCTTAAATTTCTCTCAATTACTTTTAAATTACCAGACATTAAGACCGTGCAATGTGATTGAGGTTACTGCTTCTTTAAATACGGTCAGCATGTATAACCACACATTTGTGTTTGTAAATCCGGTTAAAACTGGCTCTGGCCGGAAGTGGAAAAATCAAATCCGGAACAGCCCTAATATACCTTTCATATATTTTATAATATACCTTTTTTATGACAATTACATATTGTAACTGCAGTGTGTGTAAAACTAGTCAACTTCAACCATTACAACTGCACCACTCGCTTCCGAAAATACACAACACAACACAACACAGCACAACATAACACAACACAGCACAACGTAACACAGCACAACAAAACACAACATAACATAACACAACACAACATAACACAACACAACACAGCACAACGTAACACAGCACAACAAAACACAACATAACATAACACAACACAACATAACAAAACAAAACACAACATAACACAACACAACAAAACACAACACAACACAACATAACATAACATAAGAACAACTTTTACAAACGCGTTACCCTTGTTGCTGAAGAAGCCCTCCATACTCATGCCGAGTCCCTCGTGACTTTTCATCAATTCTACCTCATAGATCTCTATTTGTTGTTGTTGTAACTGTTGTTGTTGTTGCTGGTGTGATGGTTGATGCCGCATCTGCTTCAAGTGTTCAAATACGAAATAGTTTGAATTGTCATGAAACGCAAATAGTCAGGTGTGGGCAAAACTATGCAGAACGATTGTACGAACCACTTGACAATTTCAATTGATGTGAATAACGTTACGAGCGTTAGATCATAGGTTAAAATAATCAGAGTCTCCGCCCGCACATTAAACACGAATGTGAATATCTGGCACGAGTTTATAACACACAATGACTAAAAACATTGGCCATTGTTGTTTAAGAAGCATTAAATAGCCAACAACAAGTTTGAGTGAATAAAAATGTTAAGAAACACTAATCAGCAGCCACTCTCACCTGGACATCGTCATCATTAACTCCTTTGTTGAACTCGTCGTCATCATCCCTTGCAAGGCAATTCACCACATCATCTTCCTCCTCATTCACCGACAAAATGGACAAAACACCATCAATCTGATTGGTTGGTACGATGATGATCGGCCAATCAGACTCCTCCTGAGATTTGGAGGTGGGCCTACAGACGACCAATTGCACGTAGATACCTGTTTCTCGAAGGACCTCTGCCACTTTGTTGATTCGAAAGTCCTTGACGACGATGTCGTCGATCTTTAATATGTGGTCGCCACTTCTCAACCTGCCATCCTGTTCGCATGGGCGTTCAATTCGTGTGTGTGTGCGTGTCTGTGTGAGTACGTACATGTGTGTGTGTCTGTGTGAGTACGTGTGTGTGTGCGTGTCGGTGTGAGTACGTACATGTGTGTGTGTCTGTGTGAGTACGTGTGTGTGTGCGTGTCGGTGTGAGTACGTACATGTGTGTGTGTCTGTGTGAGTACGTGTGTGTGTGCGTGTCGGTGTGAGTACGTACATGTGTGTGTGTCTGTGTGAGTACGTGTGTGTGTGCGTGTCGATGTGAGTACGTACATGTGTGTGCGTGAATAAGAGTATGTGTGTGACACAGTTAGAAGTATACATGTATTTGTAAATACTTTTTTACCAGTTTATGTGATATGTTTCTTTGTATTTAGATTGTTATCAATTTGTTTGTTTTAGATATGTATATAGGTATATAATAATTAAATGAAAAAATTATGTGTATATATATATATATTTTGTTGGTAATAGACCATAATTTTTACAATATTCTATAAATTCTACCGAATGTTTGGCGTTAATATGTTTGTAGTTCGTTTTTTCAATTTTTCTCACTAAAATTTTTTGGTGAACGTTTAGTTTATTAAAATTCAAAATAAACTTATTTTTCGAATTCATGCTGCAAATAAGGCCATATTTCGATTCCGAATGAATCGTCATCAGTGCTCCTTGCTGTATATATAGGGAAATATTGACTTTGTCAAGATTAACTTTGACGTTGTAAAAAATAATTTTTGATTTTCGTCAAAGTTAATTTTCCCTATATATACAGCAAGGAGCACTGATGACGATTCATTCGGAATCGAAATATGGCCTTATTTGCAGCATGAATTCGAAAAATAAGTTTATTTTGAATTTTAATAAACTAAACGTTCACCAAAAAACTTTAGTGAGAAAAATCGAAAAAACGAACTACAAACATATTAACGCCAAACATTCGGTAGAATTTATAGAATATTGTAAATATATATATATATACATATACATATATATTGTATGAATTCAACCGAATTGTTGGCAATGTTCAATTTAAAGTTTGTCATTACTTGAATTTTCTGGAAATGGTTCAATTTATTGAAAATAGATTATCAAAGTTCATCATGAAAATTTAATTAAAGTTTTGTTATCCAAATTCATAATGCATTCATTTTTTTTTGTCATGAAGATAAAAAAAATACGACGCCCTCTAAGTAACTGACTTTTCAAAGGAGCTAACTTTGCTTTGTTCAAAGAAACTATCAAACCTGCACTGAAGATGATTTGTGGAAATTCAAAAAAAGGCATCATCTGCATGATGAATTTGGATAACGACAGTTTCATTAAATTTTCACAATGAACTTGGATAATAATTGAAAAGGTATACTTTAAATTGATTATTGCCAACAATTCGATAGAATTTTTACAATACTGTACAAAATGTGGTCTCCTTCCAACACACCTCCGCACACACACACACACACACATAACACACACCACACACCACACACACACACACACACACACATATATATATATATATAATCTTTATAATTATACATAATAAAGCCATATAAATGGCAAACAAAAAATGTTCATTGAATGCATGTTAATCATAAAAATATGTTCAAGTGTGTAATTGCCATGTTGCTCTGCATTGAATGGCTTCAGGCATGTTATCTGAATATTGTGCACGAACTGTTACGTTACGTAGCCCCTGAGTGTTTGTTATTATCACTTGTTCACATTGTTATCACTGAGACATAAAACAACATCAACATTCACGAAGCTATGGTCGTTAAAACAGTGTGTCATACTCGTTATTGCTATTTTTTTCAGCATGGTTGCAAAACCAGAGATACTCCAATTTAAACATCCTCATCGTCACGTCCGCCACTCACTCAAATGAGATTCGTCATCATCGTCATATCACCCAAGTAGTCAGAATGTTGTCATAATGATTAATTAGCATCATTCATCAACAATAACATTATTACAAACATCATTGTAATCTCCATCAACCTTTCAAGCATCATCATCACTTCATTATCATCACTCCATCGTCATCATCATCTACAACATCATTTCATCATCATCATCATCACTTCAACAACATCACTCCATCAACAACATCACTTCATCATCACCATCAGTTCATTATCATCGTCGTCATCACTGGCACCATCCTCATCACTTCATATTCATCATCATCACAACCTCCCAACCTTCTCAGCAACACTCCCACTGATGATAGATTTGATGTATGCACCGCCTGCTTTTTTGCTGCTGTTGTTGTTGGTGCTGTTGCTGTTGTTGTTGGGCTTCCTGATTATCCCAAACCCAAGACCAGATCCGTCATTGATCAAGTTGATGACTTCAATTTCCACCCATTCATTAGCGGTGGTCGTGTCATCTGTGGTGTTGGTGAGAAAGGTGTTGATGGTGGTACTGGATGTGTTGCTGCTGATGTTGTTGCTGATGTTATTGTTATCACTGTTGCTGTTTTTGATGATATTATCATCACTGTTGTTCTTGATGTTGATGTTGTCGTTGGGACTTGATGAAGTTTGTCGTTGAAGTTGGTTTTGTTGTTCATTCTGTTGTTGGTATATTTGATCCGCAATATTGCTCTTTCTCTAAATTTTTGTGTGAAATGATTTCCATTATCTATTCACGTTTTAGTCATTCCAGTCATTTTTAAGATTTCATCTTAAAATAAATTTCAATAAAATTTGTAACGAAAAATAAAATAAAATAAAATATCTACATGTTCCAACAACTTGTAAGTTTTATCTTCGCTTCTACAAGTCTCTTTCAACCGACCATTCCTGATAACTCTCAACTCTCCCGTTCCAGTCTCAATGTCAAAGTCATGCTCCCCTAGCTCCCTTGACCTTGAAAGGTTTGACAATCGTTGCAGGGAGTGCTGGACATGTGCCAGTTGTTGGAAGAGAGGCGATTCGATGAGGCACCTCAGTGACGAGAAGTTCTTCTTGAGGACAGAGTGTCGATCCTTGTCAAGTTTCTCATCCAGTCGTCTCAGCAACGTGCAGACTGCTTCAGCTGAGGTATTTTTTTAAGTTAAAAAAAAGTTCATTAAAATTTCATTAGTGCATATTTTGCACCATGGTTCTGTTAAATTATATTAAACAACATAACAACAATATAGCAATTTTGAAGTATTAGAATTACTCTTTGAAATATCTATAACCTTAACCTACATTATATTGTGTTTGGGTATATTGAATTTTTTTTATAATTATGTTGACAAATTGACACTAGTGATCAGTACAAGAAGTCCAGATTCCTTTTTCGATTTCCAGATCATTTCCTTTCATTGATTTCATTTTTCTGATTTCACTGTTTGATTTGATGAAATAAAAATGTCAAATGTCAAATGTCAAATATATATATATATATATATATATATATATATATATATATATATATATATATATATATACTCGGCTTTGTTAACTTCCAATTTAACTTTTCGTCAATTTTTCTAACGGTTGATCGAAAAACAT